ACTGACTGACTGAGTGAGATTGACTGACTGACTGACTGACTGACTGAGACTGACTGACTGACTGAGTGAGTGATACTGACTCTGACTGAGTGAGACTGACTGACTGACTGACTGACTGAGTGATGACTGACTGACTGAGTGAGTGATACTGACTGACTGACTGAGTGAGACTGACTGACTGACTGAGTGACTGACTGACTGACTGACTGAGTGATGACTGACTGACTGACTGACTGACTGGCTGACATTCACTCACATGGAGGTCTAAGATCCCTGTGTCGGGGAAGTAATGACAGTCTTTGCAGGGGGACCCATGCCCTCCACTTCCATGCCAGTGGGGGTGTATACGCTTGGCAGCAGTGGAAAATACTTGTACTGTTCATGCACAGTTCGTCGTGCTTCACCTAAGAGAGCAACCACCAACCTGCTATGGATATGGTGGATTGTTCAGAATAGTCTGAGAAGACCTCTTGTTCGAAAATCAAACTTTTAGTCCCCTCAAAGTAGGAAGAAAAGTTCAAAAGACCACAGATTCCCTTTCAAGTATCTAGTTGACCATGTCAGAATAGTGAAGACCATATAGTACATGAAGTCTGAAAGGTGTTCTATCTATGCCAGAACCACCCTATTGACGGGGATTATTGGCACCCTATTCCACCCATGAACAAGCTTCCCAATCTGGACAGCCTTCAATATGGTCATGTCAAAGTGTCAAGATGCATGGCAACAGGGGCAAGGGCACACTAACCCTCCCTCCAACGATCATGCAACAATCATGGAAGGGGATAGCGCAGCCCCTCAGTAAAGGACAACCGTCGTTGTTTCTGGGCCGTGTTCCACTTCCATCTTTGTTGGAACAATAAAACCTCACCTTCCCCGGCTCCAGAATTGTTTCACATCTCTGGCGGGCGCACAGCAAGGGCAAGGGCACACAAAAACTGCGTAGTGTTTTCAGAGATTGTTATGTTCAACCTTTACTCGGGACGTTTGAACCCACTGACTCATGTATTTTGCCAGGGGATGACCCACAGGCCCACAGGTCCTCATATGCTTTGTGAGTTGAAACCACCAACCACTTAAGCCTTTGGTTCCGGTGAGGTGGTGCGAGCGGTGGAGGACCCCGCCGAGTTCTTCGCATCGCTCTGCGCCGCCCGGAGAAGGTCGACAGAGACGGTCACGGCGGTCAAAGGCTCGCTCAATCAAGCTCAACAACGTATGCTTACCTGGTTGTGTTTTAATTTAAGGTCATTGTTTATATGTTCCCTCATAGGTCAATCCCTTCTGGGGAATTATTACTTTTGTTATTCTACCCGGTTCCTCATACCCGGTTCCTCAAAGCAAATCCAAGTTGAAAGACAGTCGAGGATGGCCCTAGTCGTTGCCTTCCTCGTGCAGCCGATATAATACAGTCGGCAGGCCTGAGACTCCCTCTTGGCGGCGTGGAATACAGAAAGTTGAACAGTTTTCTCCCTCTCTTTTCGTGACATGGAAGCTGTTCAACTTTATTCTGGTGACAGGAAGAAAGCTGTTCTCCCCCTCTGTTCAGCTTACCAGTTGAGTATGCTTTTCTGTTGACATGGAAGACGATACTCTTCGTTTTTTATGGGTCTTGGACTCCGCGAAGAGGGGCATCGCTTCGATTGAGCCACCTCGTCTTCGTTCTTCGACGTCTCAGCCCATCCACTGGGGGCACGCGAACGAGCACACGAGGTTCAACCTCTTTGATTTCCAGAGCTGCGTTCAGGATCAGATTCGTGGTAAGACAAATGATTCGGTGATCCAATGCCTTTACCTATTAGGGTCTTGAGTTCCATCCTCTCGTGGTGACTGGGGATCTATACGTGTTTAAAAGAGTTAGGTGATGTTAGGTAATTATACCTGACCCTTATGACAATGTTGTGCGCAGTAAAGAATTACACCTGGAAACAATTCCTCAGTGGATCTATTCCAAAAAGTGTTTCCTCTGGTCGACTGCTCCACAGAAGTCTCCGAGGAACAGCTTCCCATCCTGCGCGTCTATGCGCACCAAGAGTTCTGCGACGAGGAGCTGCAGATCGAGGCCGGGTCTACTTGTTGGTTTCGCTGGTGTCTCTGCGAAGCGGTGGTGAGGATCACCACGGGAAGATTGGTTTTGAGGAGAATTTAGTTCGGGCAGGTTGGATCCCATGTAGCAGAACGTCACAGAGGGTTCAATGAGTTTAGGATAGTTTAGGGTCTTATCATGCCAACTTTATCATGCCAACTCTGTGAGCCCCTTTGCAATTTCATGTTTTTGCTAGGGTAGGAAACCAAGCGTTTGCTTTTTCAATCGAGCCAATCCGTTTGGCTGATTGCTTTTGGGCTTTTGCATGATCCCTATCTGTATCCAGTGGAGAAGCTTTAATAACCTTTTTAAGGGGGAGATGGAGAGCACCCCACCAACAGGTGGAGGTCAATCGGTGAACTTCTATTGTCCAAGGGATCTCCGGCTCAGCATCGACAGGTCAGTGGTGAGGTGTTTTTTTCCGCTACTCCAAGGATCACTCCAGATCCACTGCCCACGAATCTGAGGTGCGGTGACCTTTTTCGACACTCTTATAGGGTCCAGTCGCACCTTCAAGGTATTTGTATCCCTATATCGGGGAACCCTGAAACATCCTGAAACCATCCCGCGGAGCTGTTTTGAGATATAGGGCCCTATAGGACACCATCCCGACAAAGCTTCCTTATACCAGTCCCTTCTGTCCCATGCTTTCATCACCTGGTCCCGTTTGGGGCGGTTCGTTGGATCCGCCAGGCATCGGTGCGGCGGGTCCTGGCGCAGCACGGCGCGGAGCTCTGCACCTACTGGGGCGCCCTCACTGTGCTTTCGGCCGCACCGGGGGTCTTCGGCTGGGGAGGTGGTTCTGTTTTTCGGGTGAAACCGTGTGAAATGGCGTAAGTCAGAGAGGTGTTCCAAGAGCCACTGCCGTGTTTTGTCAATTCAATTTGTTCATTGTGTTTCTCGTTTTTGATAGTGATGTGGGTTTCGTGCATAGAAAAGCGAAGCGGTCAAGGAGACTGGCAAGATCCCGACTGCACTGGGGCGGGCGTTTTTGAGGTGGCAGTTTGGTTTTGTTTTGATTAAAGTAATGAACGTGTGCTTTAAGGTTGCTTTGAGATCTAGAAATTGTTAGGGCCATGCCCAGCTTCGGCATGCTTTGGCTGATACCAGCAGATTGATTCACGCACCAATCTGCGTCATTTGATGGCTCTAGAATTTTCGCACTCCCAAGTTTGGAAGAGGACCCTCGCCCGGTGAATCAGCATACATTTGGGTAGTAAGTCAACAGACAAACGCCAAGCCTTCCAGAGGAGCTGGGGTTTTCCAAGTCGCTGGCGATTGGCCGGAAACTTGACCTATCCCAGACGCTCCATGTATGCCATATATGCATACATTGGGGTGGTTTGGGGGGTCAATGGAGGCATATATTCCAGTCCATGGAGTGTATGGGCATATGTTCCACTGCACCAGGCCGTGAACTTCCTTTCAATGGATCATCGCCACCCCCTTTTTTCGCTGTGTGGAAACGACGAGACCAAGCAGTGCTGAGCCTCAGGTGCACCACATCGACGACCTGGGCTTTGATGCACGAGACAGGCGCATGACCGCAGGGAGAAGGTTGAACCAAATCTCGTTTTGTTTGGAAAATGTGGTGGGTGCGTGACAGGAAATTCAGTGACCCCCAACCAATGGGTCCAAGGTGCCTTCCACCAAGGCTCTTGAGGCATTGAAAGTTTACCTATAGTTTATGCCAAACACCTGTTGAGGACTTTGGGTTTGCAACTGGGTTGTTGTGTTTTGTGCGCATCCGCTTAAATGGCTATGCGGATTTGTTCCTTCAGCTTTTGCGCAGGGCTTTATAATCTACGGTGTTTGTCCACTGCTGTTGGGGGGAGCTGTTCAGGAACCGAACCCGTCCTGCGCACCGAGTGTTCCGCAGCTGGGATGACCTGGGAGTTGGGGGGAGCTTTTAGGGGTTGCAGCTTGCAGGATGTTGCAGGTGTTGGGTCTAGGGGGAGGCAAAAATATAAATTAGGAGGGAACCTACCTATAGTGATGAAACGTAGATCGCTTGAACAAGCTGTTTGGTGGGAATTGGGGTACTACAAAACGAACAGGGATCTGTTTCATTGGTTCACCAAAACATGTGTTTACGGGATTGGTGTTCGCATGTTCACTGACCCTAGCTCCCCTACTTTTTCGGGCACAGTTCGGTGAATCATGTCTTTTCCAGGGATCCCATTCCATAACGCCTAGCTGCCTAGTTGTGCATCCAGCACATCCCATTCCTGGGAGATGAAGAGATTGTCCTCCGCTTGTCGATGTTCCGCCGCCGGGAAACAGGAACCAGATGCCCTGGTACAAGGGCGAGTTCCAACGCGCCGCCAAGCGGCGGCCCATTCGCGAGGACCGGGACAGTCGTGGGTGGAGCGATAGAGAGCGATGGAAGGAAGAGGCTAGAGCTAGAGGGGGTTTTCAATATGTTCAAGACGTTTTTGGTGCATGCTTGCCAAAGGATGTATTGTGCCTGCAAGAATACAGCCATTGACAAACCCACCAATTCACCCATCATTGAATATTGTTTACGATTTCAACGCTCGTTTGCTTCTGTTCTTAGATCCTGAGCTGTGGAAGGCCATCATCGATCGCTTGACTGTGCAGTTTAGCACAGAATCAAGCTACAAGTTCAACTCCGGGGGCACTCACTGTTGTCCTGGTCATTGTTCTTCCTTAATGCAGACGATTGCTTCGGTCTCAACAAGCTTTTGCAGAAGTCTGTGCCTAAGGTGCCTTTAAGTACCTTATGTTGTAATTGTAGAACGATATCAACGCAACGCGCCGTTTGCAGCCACACAGCCATGGGGCAAAGTTCAAGTGTGCCAAGCAGGCCTCATTCACCCCGCTGGCGTGCTGAGATGCTTGCTTCCAAGCCAAGTTGACCGTTGACCCGTTTGGTCTCTGGATGTTGGGATTGTCTCAGGTGGATATCCCAATGGAAGGCCCGATTCGAAGCTCTCCTAATGGAGAAATTCCACCAATCCAGGCGCCACGGGATCGAAGCCCTGCCCTGCAACCAAGGAGCTCCCTGGTACACTGGCTGTCGCCGTGTGCTCGCCACGCCGACACACGTCGGCCGGCGTGACGCCGACACTTGCGCAGAGGATGGGCCAAAATTTCGGGCTTGGTCTCGGAGACCAGGAGAAAGGCGATGTGCTCGACCACCAAACCTTGCAGTTCCTCGAAGTCCTGGCGGTTTGCTCGATAGTTGGTCCTGGCAAGTTGGCTGCCAAGACGGACACAGTGACCAAGAAGAAGGGAGACAAGCCCGGAGACGGAAGGCAGACATGCTGTCCCGCAGCAAGGCGGACACTCTTAGAAAGCATTGAGAACCCCTAACAGTAACCTGTTTGGGGAAAAAGAGGAAAACAGGAGGACAAGGTCCGGAGACTGGTTGGCAGCCGCCCAAGCTGCACACACAGAAGAAGCACAAAAAGAGGACAACAGGCGGAAAAGAACAGAACCAGTGCCAAGAGGAAGAGGACAAGAAGAGCCGCAAGGAGGACAAGAAGAGGACACCAGAAGGACAAAAGGACACCAAGAAGACAAGAGAAGTAAACCATGAGGACAAGAGCAGTACACAAGGAGGACAAGAAGAGGACAGGAGGAGAGACCAGGAGAACGAGGGGTGACCAGCGCAGCCAGGAAACCAGCAGAACAACTGCAAGCACCAGGAGGACAAGAAGAGGACAAGAGAAGGACAGCAAGAGCACAGAGGACACTTAAGAGGACCAGAAGAGGACACCACGACGAGGACAAGAAGAGGACACAGCGTTGGCCAGCGCAGCCATGGAACAACAGCAGTTGGAGGACCTGTCCCGACACAGGCTTCACACGGCCAGAGACTGTTGCCAGCTCTTTTTCCGCAACGGAGAACTCCAACAAAAAAACTTGCTTGTGGACGGTGTTTACCCATCCACGGCAAATTCGAACAGAGCAGTGAAAGATCCTGCTTCAAGGTCGTTGCCGACATGACTAGCGACTATATAGTCGCTTCAAGACGTTTCAAGCAGATGACGTGCCATGCAGTTGTAGCCCCAGCACAAGTTGGGGCGTCATTGCTTCACCAGGTCATCCCCTAAACCCACCAGATGCGCAATTAGTTGCCTACCAACCAACCCACCGTGGATCCCGGCGCGTGCAAGTGCTGCCCATCCCCGACCTGCGGCCGCCGCTCGCCGCGCTCGGCGACGGCCTCGCCGGCGGCTGCGATGCCTTCGCGGCGGGGCCGGCGGAGCTGCCACCGGAGGAGCGGCAGGTCTTCCGGTGGAAAGGCACCACCGCGGGTCACACCATGGCACGGTGCTGGTAAAACGGGTTGAAACACGACGGGTGGAACAACGGGTGGATGATGAGTGGGAAAAGATGCGGTGAAAGGCAGATGTGTGTTTGAACAGGATCGAACACGTTCGTTTTCTGACGCTTCAAGGATCAAGAGGAGAACCCTTATTTGCATAGCATTACATGCATTGCTAAGCTAATATACAGTTGGCGTCGTCATAGCAGATGTAGAAATGTTTGGGTTGATAAGTTTGGGTCCATTCACACTTTTGAATCTTTGTCCTACCGCTTTGTACGAGGGGCGCCACGGGTGCAATTGTGCCAGTTGATTTTGGATCACTGTGTTTTGGCTGAACTATGCACACCCCGCCTCGTAAGTGTCAAGGGCCGAGGTTACACCCTGCGGCAAGCTATTTGTGGCCCGTATGTTTAAGAAGTACTTTGGTTGAAATCATTCTACTCATTGTTGCATTGTTTTGTTCAAGCTGCAGTGGGCATTCTGCAAAACATCCTCTCTCACCTTGCAGCACTTCACAATTGCGGCCAACTGTGCAGGCGGCGAAACGGCGGCGTTAGAACACCTCAAGAGCTACATGGAGCCGCTGGTTCAATGAAGGTCGGTGATGTGGGGAGCAGAAAGCGGGTGTTCGAAGAGGTAGCATACATATGCATACATCCAGTATCATCCAGTCAGTACCTGGCCAGTGGCTCACCTTTGACCTGGTGAGGTTGGGTGTCCTTTTCCTCACAGAATTTGTTGACACAGTGTCATTTCGTGACTATGGTGAATCAAGTCACCTAGTCTCGAGTTTGAAAGCCTTCAAACGTGACGGTTTCAGAAGCACGTTAAGAAATTTTGGGTTCCAGTCAAACGAAGTGAGCCCCAAACATCTTTGGCACGTTCATGGAAAGCTCACACGGACCACCAGAACTATAGCTAGGAATTTCCACAGTTCGTTGAAAGAACACAGTATCACAAAAGACTCCAAACACGCTAAGAAGATCACAAAAAATGATACCAACAATTGAAGCCATTCTTGATCCATTCTTGAGGAGACTCCAGACCTGCGACCCTTTGTTGTTCGCTTCGCCGTCACCCCGACCATCCTCGCTGCCGTGGTACCGCGCCCGTTGAGGTCCGGTGCCCTGGCGCGGTACCGCGGCGCCACCGAGTCCTTCGCGCACGGCAGCGACAACCCAGCACCCCGGACACCGGTGGGACCGATGGGTGTTTGAATTATAGCCTGGATCCTTTTGGCTTATCATTTAGGTCGTGCTTTGGCCTGTTTGTGTGTTCTGACCCCGCCTTACTCCTGATGCTATATGAATCCTGGGGACGCTATTTATAGATCCTGGGTTTTCTCATGGTTTTGATTCGAACTCCTTGGTTTTAATAAAACCTTTCTCCAGATCGAGGTTTTCTCATATAGGCCTGATGTAGCACCACGTGGGGGCGGTCTACAAGGCAGAGCACAGAGTACCAAGGACAAGTTCTCGGCACGGGCACTGCAGGTTGGTTTTGACCCGGTCGATACTAAAAAATTCGTAACTATCCCTTCCTCTAAAAAGGAAGCCAGTGCACCCATGCAATTGGGGCAGCCGAGGGTCAACACACTGGAGAGCAATGACTCCGTGTCAGAAAGGTACGAACAGCATTGGAATATGTGATGCTCCTTGCTGATACACATCATCAGCTGGGTGGGTTCCACCAAAAGGATTGAAAACACCTTGAGGGACATTGAGGACTGGTTGCCCCAGGCAACCTCGAAAAAGGTCAGCAGCCACCGGCGTATCGGTACGTGCTGGCTAGCTGGCCGGCCTGATGTATGCAAAAAAGGGGCGTGGGGGCTCGATTCTTCTCAATGCATACCCCCAAACCGGGCTGGCAGAAGGTGATCTCTTGAGAAAGGTGGGGAAGCCCTTCAAAAAGGGCCGGCAAAAAACACCCTTGAAAAAGGGCTGTCCCAAACCCAATCCTTGAGAAAGGATGAGATCAAGCAATGCTGCGTCATTGGAGCGCCTACAGCTCAAAGATCCAGGTAACCACGATGTTGCCAGTGGCTGGTTCTGGACCGGGCCAATGGCCGTCACTGTGTGAAGCCGTGCAATCGGCTTGCAACGCAGCCCTCCAGCTCATGAAGAAGTTGTACACTGCCAAAAACGTTTCAATGTCAGACTTGAAGGCATCGGTGCAGCCTCTTCAAGCCTCTTCCCAAGGGGTAGGAAACATGATGCCTTCATGGATCCATGCATATCGGCTCCAATTGATTCTCTCTCCGCTGTTGCTGTTGCATGCTAAGAAGATCAGCTCACATTGAAGGGCACGCTCAACGAATAGGAGTTGACCCCGCGTCGCAGCAAGAAAGCCAAGCCCCCGCGGCCGTCCACAGACTCACCAAAGCCATTCGAGATGATCTCGATCCTCCCATATGCCCAAAGCGGCCCCTTGGTCAATGTGGACTTCGAGCCCGATGCCGAAGCCTTTGTCCTCATCCTCGACCACATCGGGAACAAGACGTGCTGTACCAATTCAAAGACCACGTCACTCAATACTTGACGTTGTGTGCGCAGGACTCGTCGACGCCCACCAGTCTACATGGCCTGGTAGCCTGGACCGCTCGCAAGGAATGAGCAAGGGGCCGTAGCAGGGCCCAGAAGGCCTGGATGGCCTTCTCTACCAAAGGGAGAGCCCTGGAAGCCGCAATGGCAATGGCTCTTCATACATCTCCCATTTGATGGGATAGATCGAACGACGCGATCCAGCACACCAACTCCGGGGCGGCATGCGTGGCCAATCTGCTACACCTAAACGTGGCGGGGGTCGATCTGCTATCAACCGTGGCGAGATACAATCCCTGCCACAACAAATTGCCAAACAGCCTATATACGTGGGCACCAGCTATGTACTCTTTTTGATTCATGACACTGTGAATGACTGATAATGGCTTCATGCCACATCCTTGAAATGATGACTCATTCACTGCACTGTCCCAAACTGGCGCCTTTTCCAGTGGCATGCGCCACGCGCCCGCACCTTAGATCACTCGGCTCGAGCGCTTTGGCGTTCAGAACTTGCGTTTTAAGAACTTGCGTTCCAAACGCACGAGCCGAAAAAGTATTCCGGCTCGTGCGTTCAGAGCCCGAAGCTCTTGAGGGCTTGGGTCAAATGGTCGAAGAGGCGACCTTGGAACGTGTACAAGGTGGATCTCAGCAATGCTGCCACAGGGATGAGCAGATCATCATTCGGTCGTCGAGTTTCATATGAGCCCAAATGGTTCTTTTCCAGAGGCTCTGCTGTCCGAGAGACCATGTTTTCCTTTATTCCGACCTTCTGGGTTTTGGAGGACAGGGGCGGGCGATGACGTCTTAAAGTCTTAAACTGTGTTTCCGTCCCTTTCCTTTTTTGAGGTGTTAGAAAAGAAATGGGGACTGGAACCTTGATCTGCGTTGAAATGGCGCTTACTCGTGGCTCCAAGTCGGCGGCATTGAGTGCTGCGCGGCAGCGGCTGTCGTCCTGGCAATGCGCTGTGCACGCCGTTAGCCTCTACATTCGCAACGAGGAGGAAGTGACTGTGAAAGCTTGCCGCTGCTGGCTGGACAGAGCCATCACTCCACATGTCTACGAATGGACATACCCCACAGACACAGATGAGCTGCCTCCGGGCCTTGTGTGGCGCACCAGGAATCTTCACTTTTTCTGTTCCTGCCATGACTGTTGCACGGTCAGGAGCAGAGGGGGGGCGCTCAATGAGTGCCAAACTTCGTGCATTGCTCTACCAAGTAGCCACCTATAGTTCAGGAATGGCCAACCATCCTACGTGATGAAACAGATGGGGCTATGGATTTGTTTCGCTCAGGGCCGGACAAGGCCAATCCAAGCGTTTCTGGGCTTTGACGTCCAGACATGAGAGTAGGCTGAAAGTTGAGACGAAGATGATGGTGACAAACGTGCCGGCAAATTTGCATTTGCTGTACCCAAATGCACCCTGGTTTGAACCCGCAAAACTTTCTGCTTGGGCGCCTTTCAGCGGAACGTCTTGAATATTAAAAACAATATAACAACTATAAAAATGCCTAAGCATCTCGCTCAACCCGTCTGAAGAGGAAGCTTGGTCCCAAGTGGCAAGTTCCGGAGGTGCAGGGTCGCAGGCCTGCAGTGGCTTCTTTGGCGCCAAACGAGCCAGCAGACTCTGATTCGGATACCTCCTCTGACTTATCTTTCTCTTCCTGGGAATCTGGTGCGCCGTTTGCTCCGGATGAACCGGATGAAGCTGCTGCAGATCCTGTCGTGGATGAATTGTTTGCCGCAGAGCCTCCTGCTTCGGAGGCGGATCTGCTCAAGAATTTTGAGGAGTTCCTCCAGGCCACGGCACGCAGGAGCCGCTGCATCGAAAACACGTGACGCGCTGCACGAGCTTTTTCCAATCGATTGAAAAAGGAACCTGGATAAGCCTTTTTCCACATACTCCCTAAATGAGAGCCCCTGTGGCCCGCACCAAATCTGCGTCAGGTGGGTCAAAGGACACATTTTGTGAGAAGATTGATTATCGACCTTCCTGCGCAAGGCATGCTGTTGTACCTCTGCTCTTGAACGAATCCATGAGGACAGAATGAGTCCATAGTCGTCTCAAAACCCAAGAAAAACGAATGCCACCTACCTGAGATCCATGAGGCGTGACAGAATGAAAGTCTCTGGTCGTTCTCAAAAGTCAAGAGACTGGTGCCACCTATCTCCGCTCCAAGCTTCCTTATATAAGACAAGCGTGCCCTCCCACATGTTTGTATATGCAGCTGCAGGTCACATACATGTATACAGTTCCACATACAGGCCATGCCATCATGAGCGCAGTCATCGTCCAAAAAGGTGGTTTGACTGGTATATATATATATATAATATCTGTGCAGCCCCTCCCCCCAGCACAGGGTGGCACCCTCCTCCCCGCAAAAAATCGGCGCCTGCAAAAGGAAAGTGAAGCAAAACAGATAACAAAAAACAAAACAAAAAAGAACAATAACAACCACTCCAAACAACAAGTTGTGGAAACTTCTAGCGGCTACTTCCTAAACCTGAAAAATCAAACTGCAAACTCAAACAGAAGAAGAAACGATTCAAAAAATGAAAAGTGTAGAGACAAGAAACAGATCGTCAAAAAGCTGTGGAAACGCTTTTGCGGACACCTCGCAAAAATCTTGAAAACTTGCACTGCAAACAACCTCGGAAAAATAAGTCTAAGAAGGAAGCAAATTTTATGTATGCAATGTTCTTTGCATACTTTTTTGGCTACCCGCGTGCACCGTGCAGCAACAACACCCCACCGCGAAGTGCACTTAACACGCTGAAGAAGTTCCAGTTAACCAACACACATAAACCACCTAAGTTACTTGCCCCACATGCTCGCAAAAACGGCAAACAACTTGCGAAACTTAGCGCAAACTACTTACCTGGAAGGCTGAGTGGATACTAAGCTGCATTGTTACTTAACATAAATCTACGCATTTACATGTTGACGCTAAGTACTTAATGAATGTTACAAATATTTATATTGACTGGTTTATATGTAGGTTTAGCCATGTTGTAAACAATTGTACTGAAGGTATAAGTTCTTTTGGGTAACGTGTAGGTTCACAGCTAAGCACACAATCCGCTGTAGCCACTTAGCAACCACCGCGGCCATCCAGGGTCTGCATGATCGGGGATTTACGTGATTCCGCGATATGACTTGGATCTTTGTTGTGGACCTGCGGGATCTTAAAACCTTCACACTGGGATCTGAGTGATTGCTGCCAGAGTGTTTTCGTCAATGCTCCATCAGGTACTTTGCAAGTCAGGCAGTGCAGCTTTGTATACATGTGTATATAACACTGAAATCAGAGCACTCAAATTTGGCTGATGCAAGGTAATCGGTGGTGTGGACAAATTACACTTTAAGGCCCAAGAGGCAGTCACCAAGCCGAAGAGCATGATTTCACTTTGGGAGTAACTCGGTCCACCAAAGATAAACCTGCTTACGGCGTTCGTGCGCAAACAAAAGATTTCGAGCAACTCTGGCAAATTCTACGTCCATTGGACCCGTAGCCACCACAATTCAAGTACTTGGTGAGACTATGTGGGTTGGCAGTTCTTGATTCCGTTGCCCTGTATGCACTGTTCGTTGTTTTCGTAGCTTTGCTGTTGTGGTGTGCGCATATCTGCTCTGTACCTTTTAGGGTTCTTCTCACCTGGATTCATTGCTTGGCTAACCCACCAAACCCTGCCAAAATTTGGCAAGCGGCTGTGTGGGTGCGAGACGTCGCGAGTGTGTGCGTGCGTCCAAATGAAGGTGCTGGGTATTACACATGTTGGATCATAATGGTTCTTTTCCATAGGGCCATAGCCCGTTTGGCCTCCTGTCGTACCTTCTGAGAAGTTGGAACTGGGGAGGGTGCCATGTTCAGGTTCCGTCATACCTTCTGAGGAGGTACGACTGGAGGTGTAGGCAGGGTAGGGTAGGGGTGTGCCTTCTCCCCCATTGTCCACCCCGCACATGAAATACGAAGGGTTCAGCTTCCCAGGTGAACGGTGGCACGCGGCTGAGCCCTTGGCTGGCCTTCGGCTGTCTCTCCGCGCGGATGGTTGTCAAGGAGGCCTAAACATATATAGCGCATAGTGCAGGGCATGGATTGGGTGGATGAGTATCCCAGGTACTCCATGTATATTTGCCGACATTGGGGTAGTTACTGGGTCAATGTAGGTAGATCACGAAAGGTAGCCCTTTAGGGGATACCTTAAGTTTGTCTTGCGAAGCAAGTGTTGGCGCGTCCGGGTCTAATAATTGATCATTCAATTCAA